AGCGAATGCAGATCCCAGGGCTCAATCCCTAGTTCTTACCTTACCTGTGTACAGTATCTGTGTCGACCCCGAGAGTTGAACCCGTGACCTGTGTATTAACAACAGTTGGTAGGCTGTCGTAGGTCCGTAGGTTGTAGGGGTTCGATCTGTAGACCTTTAGGATAGAGGTCTTAGCGAGTTCGAGAAGTCGTAGCTGTAGCTCTTCTGAAGGGTCAGGGTCGTAGCTGCTACAGTCCTGAAAGGTCAAAGTCGTAGCTGCTACAGTGTTCGAAAGGCCAAGCCCACAGACTTCCGGAAGGTCTGGAAGTGGCCTTTCGAAGTTGTCTCCCGTTTGGACAGAGGCAAGTGGGCAAGTGCTGAGCCCAACTGCGTTACGTCGGCAGTGCGAACAACAAGTTCCAAATAATGGGAACTACCCAATAATAAATAAGAAAAAAAAAAAACAAGAAAGAAATTACACTCAAATAGAACAATTTTGTTCATTGGACCCTAGACTGCATCGAGCTGGCAGTGCAAACCCATGCAGTCAGCGGTACAGGTCCCAGTCAGTCACAGTCCAGTGAAGCAAGTACCGTGTGGGACTGTGTGCACCCAGGGCATGGGAAAGGGGCAGACCAACGAGTTACAGAAGTATAAATCAAGAGCCAGTGCCCAGCCACTCATTCATTCCTGCGTAAGCCATGCGGAAGCGCTGCTTGAGCGGCTTGTGTGAGGTGGTCTGCAGAGCACCCGAAGACAAAGTGGGCAGAGTAGAGGTTGCGTAGCCACAGCCAGCAGGGTTAATTGGCCATAGCCGCCGTAGGTGGTAGGCGAGTGTAGTGTGTGCGTGTGTGGGATACAGTGTGTCGCGTGTGGGGTGTCCAGGGTGATCCTGAGTTGAGTGTGTGTGAACAGGGGAGTTGAGCACAGTGACGAACAGAGAGTTGTACAGGCGCTGATGCCCCATAGCCTGTTGAAGCGACCATGTATCTGAACTGTGTTTCCGACTTCCATATCTCTGAGCTTTGAGTGGGCGCTAAGCGCCAGGGTGACTTGCCATCTGTTTGCGTGAATGCGAAGTGGAAAAGAAAGCGAGTCTGATTGCATTGGTATCAGAGCTGGTACCCGCTATTCCATGCGCCATCGCCGTTGAAGAAGAAGTGCGCCATAGCTGATCTGCGGAAGAAGAACGATGCCGCGCGCACCTGCAAAGAAGACAACCAAGAGAGAGAGAGAGAGAGAGAGAGAGAGAGAGAGAGAGAGAGAGAGAGAGAGAGAGAGAGAGAGAGAGAGAAAGTTGAGCGATACAAGATTGGTTTCCCACGTATCTGCGCCGAAGATAATCACTACAAAGAGAGGGAGAGGGAGAGAGGAGCGATACAGATTGGTTGTGCAGTGACGACTGCACTGCAGTCCAACAAGAGAGAAGGTAGCGGCCATAGCCACTGAGCTCGGACACGGAGGGACGAAAGAGGAGCAGTGGTAGAGCAGGAGGGAGAGACCGAGGGGAGTAAGGAAACCATAGCCGAGGAAGGCGAAGGGAGAGACGAACAAAAAAAAAAAAAAAAAAAGAGAAAGAAGATAACCAGGGTGGAAGAAGAAAGAGGCGAGGAAGGAGAAAGGAAGTATGGAGAAGAGAAAGTGGAGGTTGGTGAGGAAGAAGACGGCAGCCATAGCCGGGTGAGTGGTGACCAGGACTTGACCGGGATTTGACTGGGAGTTGACCGGGAGTTGACCGGAGTTGACCAGGAGTTGACCGGAGTTGACTGGGAGTTGACCGGGAGTTGACTGGGGGTTGACTGCAGCGTTGACCAAGGTGCAGACCAGCGTTGATTAAGCGTTGACCGGAGCTGCTGACCGTCAGTTTGACCAAGCTGGAGTTGGTATATTCTCGCCAAGCCTTCAGCCTATCCCCTCGCCCTATGGATGTGCACACACCCTGTGGTACTTGCTGAGTCTGTCTGTCTCTTCTTTCTGCATCGAGTCTCTTTTGTCTAGGTGTAGGAACTCTATGTATGAAGGATAGGGCCTTGTTGACCAATCCCACACAGGCTGAGTAGGGCTAAGGGCCGTGTCTGACGACTCGACTGTCCCGGAGGACACGAACCCTCCCAAGGACCGGTACTGACCGGCGGGCTGCTTGGTGTGGCACGGTAGGCCCAAAATCCGAGCTGTCGGCTGCACAACAGGCTGTCTAAGTCTTGAGAGGACTTGCTGATCGCGTCGTCCTGTTTGCGACGTTAAATAATTCCTGAGGAGTTACGGGGGATCTCCTTAAATGCCTCCTGATCAGCAGTGAGTCCTGTAGTGACAGCCATAGTTTAGGTCTAGGCTAGTGACCCTAGTTGACAGGATCCTATTTGGATTCTGCGGTCCATAGATTGAGTCAGTTAGGTTGTGTCATTCAGGGGGTAGAATTCTAAGTGGTGAGGAGTGGAACTACTATCCAGTTGTGCACCTGACACCATGGTTGACACCCGTAGTGGGAAGAGCACTACCCCCTACACCTAGGCTCAAGAGGAGCAAGCCGCCGCCATTTTAAGAGAAAGAAAAGAGAAGAGGGAGAAGAAAGAGCTCCTTAAGCAGGCGAAGTTGAAGATAATCGCAGAGGAGCAGGCGGCGAAGAAGAAAAAGTTGGAGGAGGAGATGAAAAGAATACAACAGGAAGAGGAAGAGAAGATGCAGGCTGCTGAAGAAGAGGACGTAGAGGAGGAGGAGCGGCTAGAAGCAGAAGAACAGGCCCTCAAAAGGAGGCGTATGGGAGAAAGAGGAGAGAGCAGTGGCACGAAGCAGGATGACCTGTGCGTGGAGAAGAAGATATCAGAATGGGTGGCTAATTTATCTTTGGGAGAAGATGAGGAGGCGATGTTGTATGTGCCTCAGGAGGAGAAGGAAGCAGCAGCAAGGGAGATTGAAGCAGCGAGTGATCCCCTGGAACGCCAGACGATAGAAAATGAGAAAAAGTTGGCGAGAGAGAAGAAGAGGAGGATGGAGGAGGCTAACAGGATGGCCAGTGAAGTGGAAAGCTTGCAGTCATGTAGGCAAGAGGTAGAGGCCCAGCCTGACATACAGGCTAAGTTGGACAAGATCCTTGGGAGCATTGAGCTCCTAGGCCGTGCCTGGACTGAACATCATCAGTCTGTTAGGGGCCAAGACATGGCCCTCCATTCCATTCGGACCGGGTTTCGGGAGTTTGCGCGCGACGTGGTGACTCACGTCGGGACCGAAGTGAGGAGACTGAAGGAAGGCGCAGATAAATTTTGTGCAGGCGCCATTGACGGCGCCAAAGTAGTAGCTGCGTCAGAGAGTGAGGGTCGTACCCGCAAAGAGCCTGTTAAGCTCAAGTTTCCTGACTCTTATGGCGGGAAAAAGGAGGAGAATTTTGATAATTGGGAGGCTAGCGTCAACAACTACGTATATTTACAGCATATTTTACCTGAGGAACAAGTCCTTGTAGCCTTCCATGCCCTGAAGGATGAAGTGGCTATGTTTTGCCAGGTCCCTCGCGCGAGCAGCCAGTTGTGAAAACAACATGGTTGCATATTCCAAAATTACCCCCCTTCCTCATTTCTTCAAACTCCTGAGAGAGAGGTTCGCTGACGTCACGAGAGGCGTTAGGGCCTCTGACAAGCTGCAAACGATCCACTCCAGGCAGTGGAAGAGTGCGAGGGCACTCAAGGAAGTGATGGACGACTTGGTTGCCATCTCGGACCACGGGATCACCGAGACCCAGTTGGTTAATTTGTTTTATCGTGCCATGCCAGAACCCCTGCGAGGGCATTTCTTTTTTGAAAAGACCCAACATGCCAACATTACGTACGATGCGTTGAGTACAGAGGTGGTCCTGTTTGAGGCAAAATCCGCCGTGCCAGTTTCCACTTTCTTGCACAAGGATTTGGATGAAGGGAAAAAGTGGAAAGGACTTACCGTCTCGGGTCAGGTTAGGGCCAAGGATCATCTGATCCTTACTTTAGACGAGGGTGGTACTGACGAAGTCCCCTACAGTCAAATTGAGTGGGGGCTAGAGGAGAATGACAGTAGCGTGGGTCAGGGGAGGACATACGCTGTTGTCGGGGTTGGAGGGAGGCCACAAGGTAGAGGAGGAGGCCAGAGCCAAGGGGGTCGGGCCATGAGCGGTCGAGGTCGGGCGCACAGGGGGTTGGCGGCCAAAAGAACCGCCACGAGGGAGGTAGGGGTCAAGGTCCGCCGCCGAATCGTTCAGGGCCTAGTCGATCACCACAGCGCAGAGGTGGAGGATCACCTCAAAGGAGAGGAGGTTGGCACCCAGGTTGGCCACAGGGCCGGCCTTGGGAAGATTTGGGGTTGGATAAGAGAGTGTGGCAACAACGGATGGAGCAGGGGTAGTGCATCTATTGCGGTGACCCTGCACACATCATTAAGTATTGCCCAAACTATAGGGAAACCCGTTTCGCTGCCCAAGGGTCAAAAGGCAACCGCCGGTAGGGGTCGCAACTGCCCCTACCGCTAGGCCATGTGGGGAAGTGTGCGCGCACCACCAGGAAACTCCCACACCACATGAGCCTATGGCAGAGGTTGCAGGTCAGTGCCTAGTTAGTTGTCCAGAGACTCTCTCTAGGCACTTCCCTCACAGGATTGGCAGCAGAATTGAAGGAGAGGATGCCGGAGTGGGCCAACATGAAGAAAGAAAGTAAGGGACAACTAGTTTTGGCAGATTTAGAAGTTTTCAGGAGCAAAGTGGGGGCCCTTATAGATACGGGGCCTACCCGTAGTTATATCAGCCGTAGAGCCTTGAAGAAGTTGAGGCTAGCTCTGAAAGTCCATAAATTGGAAGACCCCATAGTCAATATCCTCGCAGACAATCGCACAATGCGTGTCGAGGATTACGTAGAGGGAGTCCAGGCGTATCTTCACTTAGAAAAGGATGGGAAGGTGGAGAAAGTTCTCCATTCCCTGACTCTCCTCGTAGAAGACAACCTCCCTTTCGATGTAGTCATAGGTATGGACTGGGGAGAGGCAGCAGGGGCCACACTCCACTTAAGAGAGCATGAGTGTAGGCCCCCTAGTCCGTCAGGCGAGGTCAAGACTGCCTGCCTGTTCCATGTGTCAGGGGTAGACAACTCCCTGGCACATTGTTGTCGCAGTGCTCCCGCGTTCGCGCGATTATGAGAAAGGAGCAATTAGAGGAGCAGGTCTTCAAAGCCTACGCGAGGCTTGTCACTGAGCCTAAAGAGGATGAGCCAATGAACCCAACCATTGCCAAGCTGCTGGAGGAGTTTAAGGACTTAGCAGAGCCGCCGACAGGAGTAGTGTCGTGGCCGATCCAACACCGTATAGAGATAGAGGCTGGCAGTAGGACTCCTAAGGGAGCGGTCTACACGATGTCCCCAAGGGAGTTAGAGGAGCTGCGCAAGCAGTTGGACGAGCTCCTCGAAATGGGTGGGATTAGGCCGAGTTCGTCTCTTTTGGAGCACCAGTGTTATTTGTCCCCATAAAGGAGGGAGAGTTACGTATGTGTATTAGATTATAGGGGTCTGAATGCGATTACAGTAAAGAATGTTGAGCCACTGCCGAGGATAGACGACCTCTTAGATCGAGTGCGAGGCTGCAAGTATTTTTCGAAGATAGATTTGAAGTCCGGATATCATCAGATAGAGGTTCATCCTGATGACCAGTACAAAACTGCCTTTCAGACTATATATGGGCATTATGATTTCATAGTGATGCCCTTTGGACTGACCAATGCGCCAACCACATTTCTGCGTTGTATGAATGATGTGTTTAGGCCTTGGTTAGATAGATTCGTCGTAGTTTATTTAGACGATATCTTAGTTTTCAGCAGGACCCTCCAAGAGCATCAGGGTCATTTGAGGCAGGTCTTGGAGAAGCTGAGAGAGGCTAACTTCAAGATCAATGCGAAGAACTGCGAGTGGGCCAAGACATAAATCTTGTACTTGGGCCACACTTTAGACGGAGATGGGATTAAGCCTGAGGACAGTAAGATAGCGGCGATTCGAGATTGGTCGACGCCCTGCACACTGACAGAATTGTGGTCGTTCTTAGGCCAAGCTAACTATTATAGAAAGTTCGTGAGGAACTTCTCTACTATAGCCGCTCCCCTTCGCAGATTGCTAAAGAAAGAAGCGATCTGGACGTGGGACAAAGATTGTATGTCCGCGCTTAAGAAGTTAAAGCACGCGTTGATAGAGTACCCTGTCCTCAAGGTAGCAGATCCGTCCTTGCCATTTGTCGTCACCACGGACGCGAGTCGGTATGGTATAGGTGTTGTGTTGCAGCAGGACGACGACAATGGCTATAGACCCGAAGAGTTCATGTCAGCGAGGATGCCCTCAAAGAAGGTAGCTACCTCGACTTACGAGAGAGAACTCTACGTTCTCAGGCATGCCTTTGAGCATTGGAAGCATTACCTGCTTGGGAGGCACTTCAAAGTTTATTCAGACCACGAGACTCGTAGGTGGCTGAAAACGCAGGCCAAGATGACACCTAAGTTGACTAGGTGGGCCGCTGAGATAGACCAGTATGACTTTGAGCTCAAACCGGTCAAAGGCAAGTATAACGTTGTTGCGGATGCTCTAAGTAGGAGATCAGACTACTTTTGACATATAGTTCATTATCTCGATATAGGGACAAACTTGCAAGAGAAAGTAAGACACGCGTATGCGCAGGACCCTATTTATGATTACCTCCTCAAGAAAGTTAAGGAGGCCCCAAAGACTGAACCACACTACTGCACTACAAAAGGATTATTGTTCGAGAAGACCAATGTAATAGACCGTCTATGCGTCCCTAACAGTGAGGAGATCCGTAGTTTGATCTTGGGGGAATGCCATGACACCGAGGGACATTTTGGTTGGCAGAAGACGTTAGTCAACTCGATGCTCGCGTATACTTGGTCAGGGATGAAGGCCGACTGTATAGAGTACGTTCGCATGCCCCTCTAGGTCTTCTTCGACCTTTACCCATTCCTAATCAGCCTGGCTATTGATTTTATGGATGCTAGCGTCAAGAGTAGGCATGGTAAGAGCCAAGGCATGGTAATAGTAGATAGATTTAGCAAATATGTTGTTTTTGTTCCCTTGCCCGCAGAAGCCCGTACAGAGCTAGTCATTCATAAGCTTTTGGACTTTTGGGTTAGTGAGCAGGGGATCCCATTGTCCATAGTCAGTGATCGGGACACCCGCTTTACAAGTCAGAACTGGCAGGAGTTAATGAAAATATACGGGTCAAAGTTGTTAATGTCGTCTGGCCGTCACCCAGAGACTAACGGTCAAACCGAACAGATGAATAAGATCCTGCAGCAAGTTCTGCGCATGTACAGTAGACCCGATCAAGTCAACTGGGATGAGATGTTGCCCAAGGTAGCCAGTGCGTATAACAACATCATGCACTTAGCCACTTGTCATACTACCAATGAGTTGCATAAGTACTTTAGACCGCGCAGACCGTTTGAAGGACTTAAACGGGACCAGATTCATAGGCTACCGCTCCGTACTAGGGAGTTTGCGATACAACATGAGAAGGAGTTAGCTACCGTTGTTGAGAACCTCAGGTAGGCCCAACACCGAATGATAGAACAGGCTAATAAGCATCGTTGCTCGCCACAGTTTCAAGTAGGCGACGTGGTCAAGGTCAAGTCCAAAGAGTTTGCTCCTAAGGAAAACATTTCGCAGAAGTTGCTGCCAGCTTACAGGGGACCGTGGCCAGTTCTAGAGGTTAAGGACGGAGAGGATGGGCCGTCCTATAATACTAGGTAGAAAATCCGGATATCCAGCAGGCCATTTTATCCGGAATTTTCAATCCGGATGAAAAATTCCGGATTAATTCCGGATATGGGAAAATCCGGCCCTGCGCAAAACATTTTTTTTACCGAAAAAAAAAAAAAAATTCAAAAAATTCTGGAAAAAAAGTATGTTGTTCACATCAATGATACAAACAACTTTTGGTTTGAGGCCATTGTTGATATCTCAACAGATAAAAAAAATAAAAATATAAAACAGAAAAAGAAAATAAAATTTGGATAAAATTTTTTAAAACGAATCAAGCATCCCCCCTCTAAACCCCTTCATTCCCYATCTTACCCCCTTTCAACCCTTCCATGACTTATCAAGCTTTTTATGAAATAGGAACATAGTTCTATTGTATTTTGCATGCGCAATATTACTTTTTTTTTTTTTTTTTT